CCCCCGATCACCGCCTATGATGCCTATAGTATATTAGCACCATTAAATAATAAGTGCATATTGTATAGAACCTATTACTATAATAAAAGTGGGGAACTACGTAAGTGATTTTCTTTATTTACATTTTGATTGATTATTAAATATTCTGTGTAAAATTGTTGATGGTCCAAAACTCCAAAATGTCCAATCTACTAAATCTRGCGTATAGCAGTTGAGCACGCGWYGTCTTAATAATTAAAATAATGGAATATTGAATATAGTAGTATATAGTCATTAGTAATTACTCATTAGTCCTATATTATAAATGTGAATCAAGTTACGCACAATGTATAAAAGATTTAATGACTTATCAYTTATGTAATAGTACAATATGCTATAAATATTTAACTATTTAAGTTACCTATCACAGATGTCTTATTAATGATTAAAAATGGGTTGTGAACTTGTGAGTGAGCGGGCCGCTTGCGATGTTAGTACATATTAGAAGTAGGTTGGTATTTATAATAAAGACGAAATAAACACGTAAAGGTCAACTACATTGACAATTGACACGAAGCGCAAAAATTGGCCGTGTGTATAAATCTAGAATAATAAATATACAATAGTAGGTAATACCTAATGAATTAGCCGATTAATGTAATTAATGTATTAAGACTTTTAATTTAAGAAGATGTCACTATGTCAGTGCGCCATTTGTTTTCTCTTTCTGACCCACGTAAAACCAACCTTTTGTTCTTACTATTAATATTATATTGAATTCACATAATAGTATCAAACTTTAAGTTAAGGACATAACCCATATCATTACGCTGGATGTTTTACTATATTTTAATTTTTATGCAATTAATAAGAATTTTTWAATTGTAATAATTTATATAAGCTCATAACTTATATATTTATACATAAATTAAAATATAAAATAGCAAACGGAGCGACACTGCAGGTAATGTTCTTAACTTATGCTTGATAATTGCATTAATTGGTGAATTCATATATCWGATTTCACTTTATAATAGGTATTAGGTGCTAAAAGACAGTAGTGTATCTGAAGATCATTTGAGGAGGGAGCGAATTGGTATCGTAGATTGATATCTATAGGTACTAACAAAGACGTAACACATTTTCGATTTTCATATTAAAAAAATACCTTTTTTGTATAATTTATTTATAAGTTTGAAGTTATAGTTATGAGTTTATGACTTAATGAATTTCACATTCATTTTATCATATGGCCTTGTAATTCGAGTAAAAAAAAGCCCTCATCTTATCATCGAGGTAATCGGCACGTCGTCACTTCTCAAATCCGCCACTGCCAAAAGTAACAACGGCGGTAGACGGACTTTCGTTCTCGTATAAATTTTAGTCGTTGACTTGAACATAAGATAAAGACCATTTGTCCCCCGGGAGTTAAATCAAGACGTTATTTYGCCATAGTTTTATATTTATATTATTTAAAAATTAATTTGACTATAACTAACCTATCAAAATATATTTTAAATTGTTATTTTTACTAATTTAAATAATACTAAAATTTCATTTGTTATATAAAGAATTGAAACTTTAAATTAAAAAAAAAAATAGTAATTTAAAATATCGGAGGACCATCCTCATATTTTAAAAATGGCAGTTACAAATCGTCCACGATTCAAGCACAGAATAGATTAAGCTATTGAGTGCTATTGAGTGATTAGTAACTTGGTAATAACTAACAAATAACAATATAGGGTTGGTCTGCTTAACGTAAAAGTTGTGTGCATACTATGTTGCGCTTGGGTCTAAGCCCTAAGAGGCTAAGAACGACTAAGAGAGAAAATAAAGTGCGCTGAAATTTCTTATTTTATAATGTGCCCTTGGCATTGTCGCATAGGCCATAGGTCATATGCAACGGGTTTGGCATTTGGCAGTCTARCATTTTTCGACTCGCGTAATCGAAAGTCGAATATCCGCTGATAGATTTCGTCACGACTACCGCGGTACCCGCATGCGCATTGGGCATCACGTTCACGGAAATAAAAATAATGGCGTAGCTACTGAACTACTGACTAGTGACTACACCGCGTGTCCGCGTCACCGCGACCGGACTGTCCGATAGAGTATAGACTATAGACGCTAGTGTGCTATGAGTAAGGTCAAGGTGACCAGATATAAAAATCCAAAAATAAGTACATTTTAAAACTTAGGTCCTCCTCTGTCATAATTAACCAATGTGTGTACTTTTCTACCCATTTTTTCCATACCTCTAAACGGTGGTAATAATCAAAATATAAAAAACCGTAAAACACATAAACACGTATTAGCTATATTTTTTTTAAAAAAGAGTACAATTTCATGTACTTAACACTATTGTCTATTGTTAAGGACACTAGGACACTAGGACACACATCAAAAAAAGAGTACTGTCCTGCGAAAAAGAGTACGTCTGGTCGATCACCATAGCTATGAGTTATGAGTTTATGAGTGTTATGAGTTATGACTTATGACCTACGGCACAGAATATTACGACGACGACGATATGGCAAGCAGCGCCATCTCTGAAGCATTAGTTGAGTTCTCGTATTAGGGTTTCAGCCATAGATAATAAATAAATAATAATAAATAATCATTTATTATCTATGGTTTCAGCCAAGGTGTATAATTGATATACCTAATTGGTTTCAGCCCACAGATATATAAACATACGTTTTATTCACGGACTATGATTATCATAGTCCGTGGTTTTATTTTATTTTATTTTTATTTATTACGTTTTATTTTACATACATATGTTTATATATCTGTGTTTCAGCCCGAGATCTGTTATCACCAGGGTTGTAGTAAATTTATTGTAGTAGTGTCGTTTGGAACATCTTCCACAATCATGGTTACCACGAAATATAACGGTTCGAAGTCAGCCGCAGGCCACACTGTCATTAAACCGAAGACTGGCGTTCGACCTTCATACTCCTAAAGGTCGACTTCGGTTTGCGTACCGCGTACGTCATATCGGGGTGGCGGTGTCGGTGTAGCAGCTGATACTGTCGCCCGGTCGCCATATCACGAATTCATGACGTCATATTCTACATTTTTAATTTTTCCCATTCCCATTTCCCAGTAACCAACGATTGTAGTTGAGACTATCTTTCGATCGATATCTACCAACGTTCATCATCCGCTAGCCGCTAGCCCATACTCCCATAGCCCATTTCCGTCCTACGACTCTCCATCGGCGCATCWTTGTTCATTGCATGTAAGTATCTGAACGATTTCATAATATTATTGAAACTATATCTATATTATTTCAGTAGAGTTATTGTTTGATTAATATATTATCGTTAGTATAYAAGAAAAAAGAACTGTACCTATTAATTCAAACCTTTTGGTTTTTTGTACATTTTTATTTTTTACCGATATATTTTGTCATCAAGACTTGATGATAAGTTATGATCAGATTTTGATTTTTAACATTAATTAGTTATAGTTACAAAATATGTGTTACAGTATTGATAACAATTATTATTTTTAAATAATTTCCGCTGTTGTTTGGTCGTAATTTAGGCTTGTGTCGCCTACCATARCGCTTCATTTCCGTGATCTGAAAAGGTAATCAGTTGCATTCCTATACCGTGGTGTCTGTTGATGAGGCTAATTCATATCAAAGRCAAATTCATAGTGGTGTTCAGAACGTTTTTTTTTGGTTATTCCCGTGCTAAACTGGATTTATTATGCCTTTATAGGGCTTGATTATGAGCCAGGAATACTGTGCATGCCTACCTATTTTTAATAAAAGACCCACTACATTTATTTAAGTCAGAGTCTATGCCGTTATAGTATTTTTGGATATTTGACTTAMCTTATATGTTATTTATAAATTTTGTAGAGTAGGTATCTAACAAATTTTAGTTTCAAATTCTTGGGTTCACTACCATCCCTATAAATCTTGGGCCTTGGTTTTTAGATAATGGTCCCATTGTCACACTACTTTTTTACACTATTTCTGTACTGTGTCAAAGTAAAATTTATCATAAAATTAATGAATTTAACTATGTTAAAGTGTAATGCTTRTAATAATAAGTACTTGTATGAGACTAATAAATATGTTACATTTTTATGACATACTGTATARACAGCTTATATTTCATTATATTATGTATTGTATTAGAGCTTATGTCAGAAATGTATTGATTCCAATAAGGTATAGTTCTTTTTGTTGTATGTAGCTATTTTTGGGTCCCATATATAGTTTAAGCCTAGTAGGTATATTATTTATTTTTTTGTATTTATACATCATACTAAAATTGTAAAGTTTGTATTGTTATATTAATTATTATAATATTAAATTAGTCTAATTTTAAATTTTTATCTGTTGATTWCATTAAATGATATATTTACGGGTAGAAAAATAAGGTGGTTCAAGGTTAATAGACTTAACCTTGTATCATCCGTAGAGTTTATATTTTTGATCTTCATTAACCGTCAAACATCTATATATTATTATTTAAATAGTTATTTAAAGAATTTTTTTCAGTTGATATTTTTACATGGTGATTACTAATTAGTAATAACTAAAGAATATTTAAATTAAACTTAGTTAATTTAGTAAGGTATTATCTGGAGGAATAACAAAATTTTATATTTGTAATTCAAATAATATATTTTTTAAACAACAGCTTGAATGAAATTTTTAATATGATAGTTATTTATATGATACCTTTAAGGATACTATGACCAGACATTCAACATAGGGAGAAATCTACATCTCATTTTTGTTCCGCTTTCACAAAAATTCAATATTTTATTTTTATGTAAATACATTTTTACTACATTTAAATATATAATCCATGTTTTTAATTATACATATAATTTACAAAATTGGGGCATAGTGACCTTATTGATATTGAATCATAAATTGTTATAGTTATAGTTAACACCAGGGGTGTTCCCATAGGGTATACTATATATATTTACTATATACTCCCAAGATTTTTTTTCAATATTATGGGTATATTGCGCATGCTCTCAATCATAATCGATATTATACAATATTTGTAAAGATTGACGAAATAAATGTAATATAAAGAGGATACATAAAAAATCTGGTTTAAATTTTTTTAACATATTATTGATAAGCTCTTTACCAGCATTACTCTTATAAACCATAAGAAAAATATTTTTATTGTATTAAATGTTTATATTTCTCAAAAAGAATTAATGGGAACACCTCTAATTATAACTATCTACTACGTATAGACAGTATAGTACCTATTCAAATATTATTTTGCCTAGTATTTCACCGTTTATTAATTTAAAATTTACTAAAAAATACAATTAATTAAATAGTAAGTTTGGTTATGATTTTATTTGATAGATATTGGTAATTATTAAAAATGTTTAGAAAGTGTCCCCCTTTTCTACAGAACAATTATAAAATGTACACAAAAATAGTATATTTCAATAAAATAAAATCACTCTAACTCAGCGTTTCTTAAACTTTTTTATCCATGGAACCCTTTTTGATGTCTACTTTTATCGTGGAACYCCTACTTTTTTTTAGCTTTTTAGCTTTTTKTAGAATTATTTGCAAATAAATTGTAATATTAAGTAGAAGTATAGATTATTGAATATAGAGTTAGTTGATAGATTATTCCATATGGTGTATACAACATTATTTAATATACAAGTATTTTTTTCATAATGGATATTTTAAAGTAATTTTCTTAAACATTTTTTAAAAATTACTAAAGCTTTGCGGAACCCTGAAGTGATCTACGCAATTTTAAGAAACGCTGCTCTAACTTAATCGTTGACTAGGTAATTTATAATTATTTTGTATGTATGACTGTACATAAATCAACCAGCTTATTTTCAATGTATATTAGTATATATTATAGTATGTTACAGATATACAATAATAATAAGYTGTCATTAACAAACTTAGGTAAACTATCACACAATAATTTCCAATCTATTTATTTGACAGAAAAATAATTTTATTTTTAGAAACTTAATTATAATATTAGAGGAATTAATTTGAAGATGAGAAACAATATAACATAATATACATAACTGATTTATCTATAAAACATTTTATTAAAAAAGAAAATTATATTTAATTAATCCAAATTTTTTAGTTATGGGGTTTTTCTCAGTTTTGTAAACAATGCTGAACATTATGTATATGAATATTTTTTTACATTACATAACCTTATTATGCTACATTATTATTTACTTTTAATGACTAATGAATTATGATATTACTCAGTATACACTATACAGATTACAAATAAATACCTATCAGTAATACTTAAGTCAATTATTAGTGTATATATGAATACCTAACTATCAAATGTTCAGATTACAATAAAATCTATTTGAACTTTCAGACTAACAGGTTAATATTATCTTTAGATTCATTACCTAATGTAACCTGTAATCTCCCTAGTAAATACTTTGCTTTTTATAACTTAATATTAATTTGAGCATGTTTTATTTAAACTAAAAGATAACATTTAAAAATTGATTTAATACCACTTAATATCTAAATATGAAGTCCTAAATTATTCTCAAATGTGCAATATATTAACAGAATTATATCAACCTATTACATACAAATCTTACCTATAAATTATTTCCTGTGAATCTTTATTATAAAATTTAAATTATGTTTATTTTTTTATCCGTTTAAAATGTGAATGTATTTTGATAATATTACATTATTTTGTCCTCAGAAATCAAAAATAATATACGATGGTACCTTTTTGTAAATATCTATTGAACCTCAAACAGCATCCTGATTTAAAATTAATACTTTCTAGGTTTGTATGTTTCCTTTTCCTAAATGATAATCCTTTATTGTTTTCTTTTGTTACTTATTTAAATGTATTATATTTTACCTAATAAATTTTCATTTAATCTATAGAGCTGCATTATATCTTATTTGATAACATTTAAGTACCTATTTAAATTATTATTACTTTATTACTTAATGACTTTCAACTTTAAATCCATTGAAGTTTTAGTTTTAGTTTAAACTATAATTATATTATTTACTTTTATAATGTTTTGTATTAATGATTTATTTTATATTTATATCATCATAAGGCAATTTGGCCGTAACCTTATTCTGACATTGCCTTATTTGATTATCAGCCAAAACTGTATAACTATAATTGTTTATCTGTTATTAAACATTAATAATTTTATTATTTTACTTAGACATTTGCAAACTTCAAACGTCAACCGGGTTTCTTGTAACGAAAACATGCCTATTTCAAAGATTGTAGCTCGTTCCATTTTTGACTCCAGGGGTAACCCCACTGTAGAAGTAAGTATTTTTTTATTATTATTATTTTATTATCAAATTCAATATATTTTGCGATTTATTTTAGGTTGATTTAACTATTGATAATGGACCAGTTTTCCGTGCAGCAGTACCATCTGGTGCTAGTACTGGTATCTATGAAGCATTAGAACTTCGTGATAATGAAAAGAGTAATTATCTTGGAAAAGGAGTAAATACTGCTGTTAACAACATAAACAACATCATTGCACCTGCTCTTATTAAAGCGGTAATTAAAAATCATTTAATTTGTGTACTATAATGTCATCTTAATAATAGTTGAGTTAATAGTTTTAATTTATACTTATTATAAAGTATAATTTTATTTAAAATGCAATTACCTATTTTAATTGAAAAAAAAAAACAAACAAATAAAGTTTATCATGTGTAGATAAAATTGATATATACTATATAGTACATTTGATATATATTTTTATTTGTAGATAAGTATATTCTTATTTATAAATTATTGAAATTATTGCTTGTTTATGTGATTTTATAATAATATTTTTAATTAATTGGGTTTTGTACTTATTGCATTAAWAATCATTAAAATATGCCTTTAAAATTATCAAAGTAAATDCTAATAATATCTAAAGTATTTAAAAGTTTAACATAAATGTGGAAATTGAATAATGAAAACTATGTAATGGTACTTTCTTGTATTATATTAAAACTAATTAGAAACAATAATGTTGTTATTCATTAGTCTAATAAGAAATAAAAAAATAAATTTTTTTTTAAATAGCCCAAAAGCATTTTTATTATGTCTAGAAAATGTTAATATAAATACTTCACGAAAATTAAGTCTTCATGACGTGTTTGTTTTTAATTTACAAAAGAAAACAAATTTTTATAAGAAGAACTTATTATAACTATATTATCCCAAGGTATTTAAAAAAATCTGTAATTTTACTTACATTAGATCATAATACTGTTTTTAATTTACAAAAGAATAAAAATTGATTCTGTTGAAAACTGAATATGTGAAATATTTCATATTTTATTTCTTAATTTTTTTTTTCCTAATTATTACTTTAAAAAGTACTTTGAAGTTTGCTTTTGCCCTTTAAGTACAATCTAGCCCATTCACTGATTGAAATATGGTATGAAGTTAATGATTGAAGCATTTTTTTTCTTGTAAAGATACATTAAACAATGTATCACTGTGAAATTATTATGTTCATCACTTCTCTCAGAATTCAAAATATAAAAAATTTAATGTTTACCACTATGATTTAAGGTATAATAGCATATTTTATTATCAACTATGTTGGTTACAGGGACTCATTGTCACTGAACAAAGAGCTATTGATGATATTATGTTAAAATTGGATGGAACTCCTAACAAAGCTAAGCTTKGTGCCAATGCTATTTTGGGAGTTTCATTGGCTGTTGCTAAGGCTGGTGCTTTCAAGAAAGGCGTTCCTCTTTATAAGTAAGTAAACCAACAAATTAATTAATAATTAATATACAATTGTACTAAGAATTAGTCATGATTAATTAATTATTATGAAATAGGCACATCGCTGACTTAGCAGGAAACAAAGAAATTATTTTGCCCGTTCCAGCTTTCAATGTTATCAATGGAGGTTCTCATGCAGGAAATAAGTTGGCTATGCAAGAATTCATGATTTTGCCTACTGGTAATAAATTAATATTATATTGGTAAAACTCAATGAGCATCAAAGTCAATTGTTTCAATAAGTTTTAAACTAAACTTGTTTATAAATTATAATATTTTTATTTTTTAAATTCAACCACTTATATTTTTTGTTTGTCAATTTTACATTTATAAATTGGTTTTAATAATTTATTATATTACTGAAATGGCCAATAGCCATTATATGGCATATACAGGGTGGTTGATTTATCATAAAACACTAATTATTTCAAAAATTATTGACTTTTTTCAAAATATTTTTTTACATGTTTTCAAGTTAAAAAACCGACGTTTTTATCTAAAAATTATAATTCTAAATATTTTTTATTCTTATCATTTTTTAAGTTTTTTACTTTTTTGAATGACAACATAGAGTTTTAATTTCATATTCCAAAGCAGAATATTTTTCTAAGTATTTTGATACATAGAAATTGAATTTGGGGCTAGTAGTTTATGAGTTATAAGTATTTAAAGTTTAGATTGGAGTGGTACAGGGTTACCCCACAAAATGATAAGGATTAAAATATTTAAAAATATAATTTTTTAATAAAAACGTTGGTTTTTTAACAACTTGAAACTATGTAAAAAAATATTTTGAACAAAGTGAATACTTTTTGAAATAATGAGTGTTGTTTGATAAATCTATCACCATGTATTTACTATCTATCTAATGAGTTATGTGGATAATAGTTGGAAAGTATATAACACACTACATAGTCTTCACACAAAAATGAAAGAAATGCCTAAATCCCTTGTTCAAAAAGTGATATTTAACCCTACAGCACACGCTTCACGGTCAAAAAGACCAGGCTTTTAGAATTTTGTTCATTGTTTTAAAAATACGAAATATTAACCTAACTCAATCTAGGTACCTTCTAATTAGATGATAATCTAAAATTAGCTACAACTGTTTACGATTTGATGCCTGTACTATAGAAGTGTTCAAAGTTCACTACTTATCAATATACGGTCTAAAAGACTGTGTGCGTGATATTATGTGACATCAATATACAATTTAATTTTATGAAAACTCAAAAATGTGTTTTTTTTAAACTTTCTTGTCGCCGATAAGACATTATTTTATTTTATGAAACGTAAATAAATATTTTATTTTCATTGTGACTGGCAAGATTGTTGCTAGTTGACATTGGTTCTCCAATTCTCCATACTGTGTGTAACTACGAAGTTTAATTTGTTCATATTATGTATCAATAAAATCATTTGCAATTTTTATTTATTTTAAATCAATAAAATAATGATTATTTCAATTAATCGAGTTTTAATTGAAATATTTCAATACACGGTCAAAAACACACCATATGCGTTGAACCTCATGAATATTTTTAATGCGTGTAATCTAGGGTTAATATGACTGAAGTTTAAACAGATTTTTTCATTATTTTTATAAAGTTAATCCCATAAATATAAAGTAAAGACATAAGTGAAAATTTAAAAATGCACTTTGAGTGCAAAGTTACTTAATATTTTTATGTATAACTTGTTTAAAACTTATCAAAAAACTCTAATTAAACTAAGATCTATTTTTTGAATGTAATAAACCATTTGTTTTTTCAAATTTTTATAATACTAGGTATTCAATTTAAGTGAATAGGCAGATGAAAAAATACTCAACTTTCAGTTTCTGTATTTAACTTTTTTAAAACTATTGTTTATAAATAGGTGCTAGTACTTTTACTGAAGCTATGAAAATTGGATCTGAAGTTTACCACACACTTAAAAATGTTATCAAGGCTAAATTTGGATTRGATGCTACAGCTGTTGGCGATGAAGGTGGTTTTGCTCCCAATATTCTTGAAAACAAAGAAGGTTTGCGTTTAATTGAAACTGCTATTGAAAAGGCTGGATACAAAGGAAAAGTTGAAATTGGAATGGATGTTGCTGCTTCTGAATTCTTTGTGTAAGACATTTCACTTGATTTAATATTTTTATTGCATTGTTAGTATTGTATTTATGTATTTTGTAACTTCAATAAACGTTCTAATAATTACAGCGATGGAAAATACGATTTGGATTTCAAAAATAAGTCTGATAGCAAAGACAAAAGTCAAATCATCTCAACTGAAGCTTTAACAGACTTGTACAAAGAATTCATCAAAGAATTCCCAATGGTTTCAATTGAAGATCCATTTGATCAAGATCATTGGGAAGCTTGGTCTACCCTAACTGCATCAACTGACATCCAGGTATATCATTATTAAATAATTTTTACTTGAAAAAGATCATTCTAGGATTGTTCATTGGTATGTGTTGGTTATTAAAGTTATTACATTTTTTAACGAGTTTTGAGTATTTTTAAATTTAAAAATTAATACATCTAAAAGACACTTATGACAGCTAACAGAAATTTTTGTAACCTTGAAACATAATAATAGCCATCAGATAAATTTACTCTAAAATTAAGTCTCATAAAGTGATTACGCTTGATGACAAAACATATGTAGGAGATGTCCTCAGATTTGTTTATTTTTCTTGATTTATAAACCTCAATTTTAATAAGCTATAATTAGGATTTTGAAAAATATTTATTTATTACAAYTAATTTTTAATCTAATTAATCTAAATTTTGGTTATAAATATCTTCATAGTCTTTTAAAAAACTTATTAGTCTGAGTTAATATATTTTTTTATTTCCAAAATATGTTTTCTATTTTTGATTTTCAAAACATAATTTTTGTAGCCTAAAAAATATTAGATATACATTTAAGTTACTCATGTCATAATAAATAAAGGTACCAAAAACATTCCTAAACTGGTCAGTGTCTTCCATGAATTATACCAAACCTCATCACAGAATGGTGTCTGATATGGAATCAGTCATCCTTAATAAAGACATTTTTTGTCTCTGTCCTTAGTATGTGACACCAAATTGACATTCAGTAGATCATGTTTAGTTATGTTAGCTTAGAAGTAAGAGTTAATTGACCTATTTAAAATGACCTACTATGAAACTTAATAGTAAGATTTTTTAGYAAGTTCTGCATGTTATATAATATAGCACAAATTAAAAATTGAATTACCTACTGTAAAAAAACACCGCATTACAACACAGATAATATTCTTGCCATTAAGTTTCATCATAGGTTTCATCATTCACTCTAATTTTTAAAATAACAAAGCTAAACATGGTTTGCAAAACATAAATCTGATATGTTTTGTACTCGTAAGACGGTAATGATCAAGTAATAGGGTACCTTGTTACTAAAGAACATTGAAGTGATCACAAGTGCAGTTATGGATGTCTATTGCTAATTTTACTTGCAAGGAAATGGTACGTTTCTTTCTTGTAATGA